AATTCAGGTCAACCCAGGCTAATATATCTTAGATCTAATGGAACTCGCGTTTCCCTCCATCGTGAGTCAAATCAATGTTAAGTTGACCAATAATAAGTTTGAATCAGGCTATTCCATGTTAAATTTCAAATCAAACTCGAGTCAAACGTAACTCACCTAAAATCATAGTTACTTCACATTACTCTTAACTCAGGTCACCTCCCAATGAACGGAGAATTATATCCAAGTTTAAGTATTGTTAACACAATAACTACAGTGCCTCAGAAACATACCAAACTATAAAGAACAGTGTTACTGACAGTGTAAAAAAGCTGACTTAGAGTGCAGTGAAAGCCAAAGTTAGGCTAAGTCCAAATAGAGACTATGCCAAAGTACCAAATGAACTCATATACGTATTTTCTGCCTCAATGAGAACAAATTATTTCAAGGATCCAATAAGCATCACATGGTTTTCGAATTTTAAGGCTATCATAAGCACGCTCGGAGAAATATTGATTCGAAAGTCTTCAAGATATTGCTCAGACACTGGCTTCTTAACAGTATATCAGATTGAGAGTCTCCAACATCGACAAACCTAAGACGGTTCTCAATGAATTTTTGATTGCGCCGAAAAAGAAATGCCTGTTAACAACTTCGGGCCGAATCACGCTTCCAGCAGCTCATCTATAAACCTACTGCCACGCTTACAGGTCTTTTCATGCTCAACGGCATCAAAACTGAAATTTCCCACCCCATATTGAGCATCCCACTGCATCTATCACCTAGGCTACGTTGTACTCCCCTAACCTTGTTTTTCTTTCATCAAGTAAGAGTGCGTGCTTTCAGAAATGGCCAATTTCGCGAACCTATTTCTCATTTTGAGGTGCAATTAAGTTGTCGCGACCGGGAACATAGAAAGAAGCCAGACACTCCTCCTCTCTAGACGCACGAGGCTTGCTCAATCTCAGGTTTCCGCTTGCGCAGTTCCGCAGGATCAGTGTTGGGAAAAGTTCTTGCTAAGCTAATCTAGATTCGGCTTTACAGACTCTTATAGATTAGCCTCATAATTCAGTGACTATATGTTACGTAAATTTCGAATTGAAATCAACGCTGTATAGGTCTGCTTGAAAGCCAGCCACCAGTTCGTTCCTATCAATGCACAGAACATTTATAATAACCCAAATACAGTCTGATCAAGCAAAATCATTGATCACAAACGCAATAGATGAAAACAAAAAGTGATCACTGATCAC